AAGTTGTAAAAGGGAAAAAAACACCAATTAGCAACAGCTAAAAATAATAATAATAAAAAGTCCAATCACCAATAAAAAATCATACAAGAAAGGCAACTCGGAAACTAACAAATATTGAATGCGGAAACAATCATAATCATGTTTTTCTCTCTCCCAAAAACGCACATTCCACCTTCAAAAAAAAAAACATAATCAGTCATCCGACATTATTTAAATACAATGCAAGAATAGGGGAAACGCTGAATTGGCGCAACAGTTTCTCCTCATACTCCTTCAGGAAGCTCGTAGATCGTAATTAAAAAAGTAAAATGCTACACTCGCGTCAATAAATGGGGTGGGTGGTGCCACACGAAGAATTCACCACCTCGGTCGCTTTCTCTCCCATTATTTTTCCTTTTTAACTTTTTCTCCGCAGACTATCGCCCGCTCCGCCGGGGGTGGCATCTTCACTGCCGTGGATTCGTTACGCACGTGTGCAAATACAAACAACGCATTCCGAGGCCGCCCCTAAATTAATTGAATTCTCCTATAAAACTCGTGCTGGATTTGTCGTTCCCCAATATATTTACTACCGTCTTTTCCTCTACATGCACGCAATCTCTCTCCTCCCCGAAGCCAGTTTCATGCGTATTAGACAGCGTCCATAAAAAAAAACAGGCCGAAGCAAAACAAAAAAGTAAAAAAAAAAAAAAAACAACAGCCCACGTCAATTGAAGGGTCTGCCTTGCAGGAAGTTGCTTATCATCACAAAGGCAGACGCTGGCTGATCCATTGGCACCATGTGTCCCGCGTTGTACACCTGCACGAAGGTCAGGTTCGACGTCGACGCCGCGGCGGCGGTGCGGAAAAGCCCAGCCACAGTGCCGTCGGGGGCCCGGAATGGCTCGTCGAGGGCTGCGTTGAACAGCGCTTTGCCAGGCCAGTTCAGTGCTGTCGTCCATTGCTTGTTGCCGATCCAGTTGCAGATAAAATCCATTTCGCCAGCGTAAATCATCACACTAACACCATCCTCAAGAAGAGTCGGCACGGTGTAGTTGAAGTTCTTGAACCAGTCCATCAGGAACATTAGGTTGACCTCCATGTTGCATGACTGCCACACCTGTCGCTTCGCCCCAAGAGAGCTCTGCACATCCTCTCGGTTCATAAATGCATTCAGGGCGTCAAAATTGTAGCAAAGGGTCCCAATGCACGGCTTGCGGATGTCGTAGTTATTGAGCCCTGTGGCGCTGTAGACCCCAATGATTGGATTGCAGAGGACTCTTGCAGTGACGCAAGCCGCCTTCGCAATAAAATTGTTGTCGGAGTTACAAATTTCAATGGCCTTTTGGCATGGGGGCACCATGCTACTCATCTGTTGGTAGCCTTCCTCAGAGACACAAGGCTCTCCAAGCTTTTCCCTGCACCACCCCCATGCGAAACTCGGATACGCAGCGTATTGTGTGTATGGGTCTGTAAGGCCGTTACCAACCGCAAGACCAGCAAGTCGGATGGGAAGACCCACATGTTCGCGATTGGCTTTGTTGATGTGGTGCGCCGTCGCAGGAGCGTAGTGTCCCCCGTAGCTTTCGCCAACAACAAAGAGTTTGTTCTTCCGCAGTTTTTGGTGGGCCCTAAAAAACGCCTGGAGAAAGTGGTACATGTCCTCCGAAACCTCCTCCTCATTTGAGTCGTAGTCTTCCACTTCTGCGTATGAGAACCCCACTCCTGCAGGCTGGTCAACGTAAATCACATATGCCTCATTGTTCCATGAGTAGTTGTTTTTGTAGATATCCCCTGTGGTCTCATTCACCAGACACGGTCCATTCTCCGCCCAGCACGCAAACATGGAGCTGCACCCCGGCCCACCCGTCATCCAAAGCAGCACAGGGGCCTCTGGGTTCCCGTTGCGGGGCCCAAATGCCCAGTAAAAGTAGTGCTTGTCGCCTTCTCGGCCGGGAATGTCAAAGTAGCCGCTCCACTGCGGCACGTCCGGGTCGCAGGGGTGCCAGCCGGAGCCCGTCTCACGCAGCCGTCCCTGTGGCACGACGTAAAGGGCCTCCACCGCCGTCGTCACCAGTGTAGCGGCAGCCACAAGGGAAAGAATTGGATAAATCAAAGGGCGTGCCATCCTGCAGAGTCTTTTCCTTCGCTTGCTTAGTGCTCCTCGTAGTTTCAAGTTACGTTCTCTAACTGTATCAAATTTCGCTTCCTCGCGTGAACAAAACCTGCGGCCAGCCCAACCCAAAGAGAAGAATAAAAAGAGGGGGAGGGGAGGAGAGCAGTCGGGGGACCGGCAACGGGCAACCCAACGCACACGCATGTGGGTTTTTGTGTGTGTCGCTGCATGCACGCAGAGGAAAATAAAGTATATGTAGCTGCATGTGCCTTACTGCTTGACAGTTAGAGGGAGAGAGAGAGAGAGAGAACCATGGAAGATGACCACCGCCCCGCCCCCTGATTCCCCTCAGCCCTTACCTCGCGTGCACCCCCCTTAGTTCTCCCTGCTCCTTGTGTGGGGGACGGATGGTGCAGGGGGCTGCCTGACTTATTCTCCTTTCTTTCTTTCTTTATCCCCGCAGAGAACAAATATGGGTTCTTTGGTGGCAGCAACCATCATTTCCGCCGCCCCCTCTCGCTCTTGATCCGTTCTAAACACAAACACACACAAACGCATGCAGATCGTAATTAAAAAAGTAAAATGCTACACTCGCGTCAATAAATAGGGTGGGTGGTGCCACACGAAGAATTCACCACCTCGGTCGCTTTCTCTCCCATTATTTTTCCTTTTTAACTTTTTCTCCGCAGACTATCGCCCGCTCCGCCGGGGGTGGCATCTTCACTGCCGTGGATTCGTTACGCACGTGTGCAAATACAAACAACGCATTCCGAGGCCGCCCCTAAATTAATTGAATTCTCCTATAAAACTCGTGCTGGATTTGTCGTTCCCCAATATATTTACTACCGTCTTTTCCTCTACATGCACGCAATCTCTCTCCTCCCCGAAGCCAGTTTCATGCGTATTAGACAGCGTCCATAAAAAAAAACAGGCCGAAGCAAAACAAAAAAGTAAAAAAAAAAAAAAAACAACAGCCCACGTCAATTGAAGGGTCTGCCTTGCAGGAAGTTGCTTATCATCACAAAGGCAGACGCTGGCTGATCCATTGGCACCATGTGTCCCGCGTTGTACACCTGCACGAAGGTCAGGTTCGACGTCGACGCCGCGGCGGCGGTGCGGAAAAGCCCAGCCACAGTGCCGTCGGGGGCCCGGAATGGCTCGTCGAGGGCTGCGTTGAACAGCGCTTTGCCAGGCCAGTTCAGTGCTGTCGTCCATTGCTTGTTGCCGATCCAGTTGCAGATAAAATCCATTTCGCCAGCGTAAATCATCACACTAACACCATCCTCAAGAAGAGTCGGCACGGTGTAGTTGAAGTTCTTGAACCAGTCCATCAGGAACATTAGGTTGACCTCCATGTTGCATGACTGCCACACCTGTCG